AAGTCACAATCAACTCAATGGCAGTGAGTGTGATTGATACACCTATATAAGCATATGTATTTACTTGCAAATGCCTTTCTATACACATATATGTATCCACATAAATACCATAACAAACATACATAAATAACCAAACACATATTTTTTGGTTGTTTTTACTACTGTTGCAAAATTGTATATTTATAGCATTTACCAAAATTACCCCTTTTTCTCATATACTGCTTAGTATCTTTATTTACCTTGGTCAAATTGTGCTGACTTCACCCATATTTGGGATTGCCTTTCCCATCACCAAAAGTAACAACTGTTTAGAAAATGATTCCTCCTCCTTCTCCCTTCCATCCTTTGTCACCATGAAATAATTTTATATATTATTGACTTTTTATAATAGTGGAACCATATAATATTTGTCCTTTTGTGATTGACTTATTTCACTCAGCATAATGTCCTCCAGATTCATCCATGTTATAAAATGCTTCACAGACTCATTATTTTTTATAGTTGCGTAGTATTCCATTGAATGTATGCACCACAATTTGTTTACCCACTGATAGGCACTTAGGTTGTTTCCATCTTTTTGCTATTGTGAGTAATGCTACTTTGAACATAGATGTGTATGTGTCTATTCATGTCACTGCTCTTATATCTCTAGGATATATACCTAGGAGTGCAATTGCTGATCATAAGGGATTTCTATTTCTAGCTTTTGAGGAAGTACCATACTGTTTTCCACAGTGGTGGTATCAATTTACAATCCCACCAGCAATGTATAAGAGTTCCAAAGCCTCCACAACCTTGACAGAATTTGATGTTTTGGGTTTTTTTGATCATTACCATTTTTGCTGAGATATTATCTCATTGTTGTTTTGATTTGCATCTCTCTAAGGAGCTCTGGTGGCACAGTGCCTAAGGCACTTGACTGCTAACCAGAAGGCTGGTGGTTCAAACCCACCAGCCACTCCTTGGAACGAAGGTTGGGCAATCTTCTTCTGTAGTGATACTGCCTGGGAAACCCAAAGAGGGGTCGCTATGAGTTGGGTCTGACTCAAGGGCACATAACAACAACGGCTAATGATCACAAGCATCTTTTCATGTATTTGTTGGCAGACTGAATGTTCTCTTTGGTGAAGCATCTGTTAATGTCTTTTGCCTACTTTTTTGATTGGATTGTTTGTCTTTCTGTTGTTGAGTTGTTCAAGTTTTCTATGTATTTTAGAGATTAGACCCTCATCAGGTATATTGTTGCCAAAGATTTTTTTCCCAGTTTGCAGAATCTCTTTTTATTCTCTTGGTCAAATCTTTTGATGAGCCTAAGTATTTAATTTTTAGGAGGTCTCAGTTATCTAAATTGATAAGTTGATTTTTCCCACATTTGATCAACTTAAATTTCTATTCAATTTTCACTAAGTAACTAAGAGTTTGCCCATTAGACATTGAATCAGACCTGGCAAATACAGGTGTCATTTTTATTCCTATTATACTTTTTGTTTATACAGGCAGTCCCGTCCTCAGGTTACAAACAAGATCTGTCCTAACTGTATCTTTAAAAATTTGTAGGTCAGTCGTTATTGTAGTTATTTAGCATTATTTTAGAACAAGAAAAGGCTGGAAGTTTTTTCAATAATTTATAAGCTGCACGTGTGGCAAGTGAAGGTGACCATGATAAAGAACGTGCTATGAGTAGGGGTGGGTTCAATCACCTCAGTCAGGGCAAACACAATATTGAAGCAAAGCTGCAAAGACAGCAGTGCCTGCTCAGAGACGGCGCCTGACTGCTCCACTGTGAATGTGTGTGACGCTCCACAGTCCTGCCAATAGCCCAATTTCATGCATCAGGTTCCTGAGTCTTCCTAGTCTCCCTTCACAGAGCTTCAATTCATAATTTTTCCTGTTTTTGAGGATGGTTGAAATAGAAGGCTGAAGAAGCCCCTCACTGAAACCTGCAAAACCTTTACAAGCTAACAGGCAGGATTAAAGTAGACCTTAATTTTAGTGACTAACTCACTGTTTTTCCCTCCCCTTATCATTCTCTTCTGAGTAAACAGTAAACAGTATCAAACAAAAAAAACACACTGCTGACTCATAGCAACCCCTTCTTGGGCTTCCGGGCTTGCCCAACCTTCCTTTTGAGGAGTAGCTGGTGGGTTTGAACCTCCAGCCTTCTGGTTAGAAGTCAGATGCCTTAGGCACTATGCCACCAGAGCTCCCCCGGAAACAGTATACCAAAAAGCAAACTCACTGCCATCGAGTCGGATCTGACTCAGCGACCCCTCCTCGGGTTTCCGAGGCAGTATTATTACAGAAGTAGATTGCTCAACCTTCCTTCGGAGGAGTGGCTGGTGGGTTTGAACTGCCAGCCTTCTGGTTAGCAGTCAAGTGCCTTAGGCACTAAGCTACCAGAGCTCCCCTTAGGCACTATAGCCAGCCTTTATTTACCCTGGGGAAGGAGACACCAGGCGCTGGGGCAACCAAGATAAGGAGGAAACAGAGACATTCTCGCAGACGGAGAGGCCTGAAGATGCCCACTCCCATACTCTCTCCCCTTGCAGAATAAATCCCTCTAGATAGACACAAGGCCCCTGAAAGACCAAGGACAGTTTCTTTACCACTGACCAGAAGAAAGGCCAAGAAACTACAAGACAAATACAACTACTCATCCTGTAATGAAAAGAAAACACTATTATTAGCATTCCTAAGACCTATCCCCCTCTCAGCCTGATTCCCTTTAAAAGCCCTAACCATTCCCCAGCTCAGGGAGACAGACATTGTAGAGAAATGATTCTCACTGTCTCCTTGGGTATGGATACTCAATAAACCTTTTGCTTTCCCTCTTCAACCTGTTGTAATTATTGGCTCTTCATGACAGAGGGTAAGGACTTTGTTTTCCTACTACATTTTGGTTACCATGATGAATTACCCAAACTAAAGATTGTGGTCTGTTCCTGTTTTGCTATGTCAGTATGAGAGAACTAGCTCAAAGCCCTGCCATTCAAGGGCAAGCAGGAGTTGTCTGCTTGTTGGATGTTCATAACACAGAGTCTGCCTATATTCTGTAATTTTTAATAGACTGTTTTCCAATTTTTAAGACATATAAATGAATATTTAAAACTGAAACTCAATCTTATGGAGATACCCCCCCACACACACATACATACACACATTTCTTTTTTCTGTTCAGCACCTCATTGGTAAACTCCTAGCATACAGCCATGTGCACAATTTCAATGTTTTTTTCAATGCCTTTCTGGTAGGGCTTAAAGGGAAACTATCAGCATTACTATTATTATTTTGTTAATATTTAGCTATATTATCTATTAAAACAATAAATACTTAGAAAAATAGGTAGTCAGGAAAAAAGTACTAAAACAGCAAGTTTGCAACATGCATAATATCAAGCCAAATTCCTATTTACTTTAATCATATACTCACTCATACACACACAGTTAATTTTAAATCTTTCATTACAATGTATGTATTCAGTTGAATTTTAAGTCTAAGAATTAGAAAGCAGCTATACCAGAAACCTTTTAAAATAAATTTTATCTAATGATGGGACTGGTGAATGCCTGTAAGTGATTTAATGAGAGGTTTTAAAATAAAATGTCAACGTCTGCATCATGCTACCAATAAGCAATTAAAACAAAAAAGTGGCAAACACTAGAAAATGACAATGGAAAGAATTAAAAAGATAAAATTGCAGTTACATATACCACATTTCTATTTATGTATAGACAATGACTATTCATCTCTTGTAAGCAGAAATGCAGCTTCCTTACCAGTAACTGTTAGTCTATCATCCTTGTGGGCTTCAGCCATTTCCTGAACATGGACCTCTGAATTCACATCAACCTCTTTCCCTGATAATTGTAAATGAGTCTGAAGAGAAGGTGGCACCTTGATAATAACAGAACCTATAAAAATTTAAGGGAGAGTTAATTCAAGCAAAGATATCAAAAGTTCCAGAGCCTATTATAAACTACTGAAAAGGCAGTATTGCTTCTGGTATACCATCTTTACTCTTCAGGATATTTCTTTTAACAGTAGTGCCTTTTCCTTACTCACAGATGATCAAAGTTTCTTTACTACCAAGGACATTATTACTATGTCTTCTTTTGCCAAAATTCCTGGCCTGCTCATCTAATACCAGAAAAGTCAGTAGTTCACTGCACATGTAGTTGTAGATAGGATTTGCCATTTATTAAGCATTTACTAAGAGCCAGACACTTTGATTACACAGTCTTTTAATTCCTAGATTGATTTTATGAGTCATTATTATTATACTCATTTGACAGATGAGAATTTGCTCGAGATCCCACTAGATCCAGCATTGAAATCTAGACCCAGTAAAATGACTATAGTGGTAGTTAAGCTTGTGTGTCAACTTGGCTGGGTCATAGTTTTGAGTAGCTGAGTAACTGGATGTAGTGATTCCCCATGATGAGACTATAATCACCTCCATGGCAGAACGTGCTGTGAGCAGCTAAGTAGTTGCCTTCAGAGTATGGCCTGCTTTGAGTATATATTGTGAAGCTTTGAGAAAGGTCTTGAGCCTTTTTGGCACATCTGGATCCTGCATTTGGCCAAGTTTTCACCTCCAGTTCCTGGATTTGAACCAGTGGCCTGCTGTATTGCCTACCGATCTTGGGACTGTGCCATTTTACTTGCTGACTTTGGGTTTGTCAGCCTCAGGAGCCAGCAGCTACCTGAGTTAGGAGATACCTCCAGCTCCAGTGGGCTTGGAACAAGAGGCAGAACTGCAGCCCAAGGTCAAGGGCCCTTCACCCAGCCCCTATAACCAGTAATCTGAATTTGGACTTTAACCTTCCTAAACTGTGAGAGAAAAAATTCCTGTTTTTTAAAGCCATCCACTTGTGGTATTTCTGTTATTGGAGCACTAGAGAACTTAAACAGCCATAAAGCCCATGCTCTTAACTTCCATGGTATTTTCACACACTGCTGCCTCATCATACCACAGCACTATAACTTTACCATTCATTATACCACAACTGGGAGCTCTGGCAGCATAGTGCCGAAGGCACTAGACTGCTAACCAGAAGGCTGGAGGTTCAAACCCATCAGCCACTCCTTGGAAGGAAGATAGGAAGATAGGGCAATCTACTTCCGTAGTGATACTGCCTCAGAAACCCAAGGAGGGGTCCCTACGAGTCGGATCTGACTCAAGGGCACATAACAACAACAACATACCACAACTAGAACACAGAGTTCTTGCACTTTCAATTGTGCCTTGTATGTGGGGAGAAAAAATGACAACAAAAAAGGATTATTTGTATTCCAATCAACTGATAAATCTTTCGAGTGGATTTCAGGCTTTTGAGTACCTGAGGCAAGAGACTCAACTTTATTTTCACTATAATCTTAAGCTAATTCAAGCTTCTAAAGGAAGAAATCAGAAAAAGTACTGTTAGCTAGGGAAGTATTTTTCAAAACAACTTATTGTTTTGCAGTGCAAACTCACCAGCACACTCCTGTTTCAGAAGTTTTTCTGGCTCTGTTTCTCAAATAACAAATAAAATAGCTAAGAGGCCTCTATCTTATCTCTGTGGACAAAGATTATCAGTATGACATCCATAGAAAATGTTGTAAAGATTTCTTTTAGAATGTAATTACTGGTCATGATTTTTCTTCTAATCTAGTTAAATTACCCCAAGTAATTTCACATAATCTCAGTAGCAAAGTGCACGTAGACTTCATTCTCACTACTGAGGTAGATTCTGATTGACAAATAAAAAGACGTATACACAGAAATATATTCAGAATTACTTCTAAAGCCTTTTGTAATGAACTCTTGCTGGGGGTTTAGCTTTCTTAACAAAGGGCTGGAAGTTTGGGGTAAGAATGATGAATCCCCACACTCACTCTTCAAAAAAAGAAAGAAAGTATATTATCACAACTCGTTTATTTTATTTTTGAAAAAAAATTGCTTTTCAGGGTTCAAATATAAGTCAGTGATAGGAGATTCCCTCATAACAAGATATGAAGGGTTTAGGGAAGGAAAAGAAAACACTAAACTCCTGGAAAATTTTAGAATGAAGAGTAAGATACATGTTTTTCTACCAAACACACTTAAAAACTGAAAATCATGGATTCAAAACCTATTTCCTAGTACTTTTCACTTTAAATGTATCAAACTTGGTAATTTTATAAACATTTTTTTCCTTTTCTTAAATCAATAAAGTAATTTTAAATCTATAAGAGCTTTAAACATGCTAAGCAATCCAGATAGTTCTATCTCCCTCCATATCCTTAAAAAACAAGAACTACCAGTACTAAAATTCCCCCACTGTTTGTGAAGGAACAATTCCATGCCTTGAATACTTTCCCAAATGTCCCATCTTTAACCCTAACACTATCTTTGTAGAAAAGAGGGCTCTTGTTAAGTCTTCAACCTCTTTTCACTTCATAAATTTACTGTCTACTTTAAAAATTCAAAAGTGAGCTAATACTGGCAGCACCACTGATTGAAGGCATACTGTGTTAAAACTGGTCATTTTCCTAAGAACAAAAAGTTAACTGGAAAAGCCAGTACTCTGACTCCCAAGCCAAAGCACCCTTTCTGAATTAATTAAAGTCACCACATTAACTTTCATAAAGAAAGCAAAAAACAAGCATTTTAACATTCTTTTTATCACATGGCAAAATGGAGAAAATTTAAGAAACTTAAGTGAATGACTGAATCCGACAGCAAGACAGTGGCAGAGTTGGAATGGATTCCAGATGTTTTTACTAACTATTAAGCAACAGTCCTGAATAACTTTCTTTTTCTCTAAAAAGTTACTGTTCCCAAGTGCAGTGAGAATTAGAAGATCTGAAGTATAACAGAAATCTTTGTTTCTATTTATCTTTAAGCTTCTGCCAGTAACATAGTTCAGCAGAAGAAAGCACAAAATTCCAATTCTAAATATCAAATTTGTAACACCGTATGCTATTTCCATAGATCACCAGTACAAAATTCCAAGTAATTCTTGAAAAAATTTTAAATGGATGAGGATTAACAATGGCTTTTGATTGTTTTGTTTTATTTTTTGGACTATTTCCACAAAAAAGGAAATAACTTTCATGTAAGAGTTGCTTATCCAAAACTTTTTGGATCTTTTTAATGAGCAAGTGCAACCAAAGAACTTCTACTGATTTTACAAAATGCTATGAATAACATTGAAGCACTTAGAAATTTAGTGAGAACATGATATTACCCTATTTTAAAGAAAAAAAATGTGATCTTGAGAAATCAAACACACCTGTGTGTCAACAATAACCAGTTTCACACACCTCTGTGTTTTGTAATTTTGACAATCTGTTAAGGGAGCCTAGCTGAATGAAAAAGTATTAAGCTGGCATGGCAAATTAATTACTAATAGCTGGAACAACCAGTCTCTGTAGGGAAGTATGTTCCTGGTTATGCATAGAACCATTTTGGCCAATATGTGCAGACTTCTAGATTGTATTTTTTATTTTTAATATAGAGCTATGACCCTTAATTTTCTGTGTCTAGGCCACTTCAGCACTATGGTTGAGCTACTCCTCCCAAGCCATTTGCTCACGTGTGCACAAACACACACACTCAACCTTCAGATGACTAAAAAGAATACTGTTTTTAATGAAAAGGTTTAGATTCTGAGTAAGCTGTTTTGTATTAGAAACTAAATTACAGAGATAGACACCTTATAAGTACTGACACTTTAAAAGATTAGCTCAACAATTATTTTAGAAGACCTCTCTGGTGATATCTTCATTTAGGATCACACTTCGGACACTATTACTCTAGAGTGACGGCCGAAGAAGGTCCTCCTGGAAAGGAAAGGAAAGTTTCCAAAAGAACATATAGCAGCATTTTTCTTCCAAAGAATACTCTATTTCAGATAAAAAAAACTAAAGTGAAAAACTCAAAGATTAACATTAAGAAAAATTCCACAATAACAGCCAAAATATTACAATATTTTTGTTTATACTACAAAGTGAAAGTTTTCATAGCCATCTGTCCCAAAACTTTTGAAGATCACTGATCTATAGTGCTAGTAGGCCAGTCTTTAAATCAAATTCCATCAAAAGAAATTTTCTTGAAGTAACTATCAGTCTAGATAAGATAACATGACCATCTGTTTCCTCAGTGTTACGTAAAATCTTTCTTAGAGCATATGTCAAAAGAAAACATTTCAGATGGCTAACCTTTATGGGACTTTAAGTCCACTTCTCCCAGTTGGCTGACATAAACATCTATGGCACCCTGATGAGTTGATGCTTTTAGACATCCAGAGGACGAATCTGGGAAGGAAGAAAAACCTGAAGTATGATCATTCTTTTTTAAGTAAATGAAATTATAAAATTTCTCCTTCAGCATTTGGATAAGGAGTTATCGAGTCTTCCAAGGTTTTGTATTCTCCTTATAACAACACCATCTTTTGCATTAAAACATAAAACCACAACAGAAATCTAGAAATCTACACATAGACAACTAATTATGAAATCCCTATGTCTACATTAACCTGCATATCTCTAAACATACCTACTCTAAAATCTAATAGATGGGAAGGACAATGTGTAAGCTATGGATCCTTGATGCCAAGACCATTAAGTTCATTGATACATTTAGTTTACTGTCATATTGATAGACTTAGAAAGCTGTCAATATTTACTAAAGAATTCTATCAGACACATCCAAATTAGCAGTAGCAAATCAAAATCTCTTATAATTTCTCCTTTTAGCCAATTTGCTCGTACTGAAAAGTACTATTTATTGCACTTTTGAGAGGAAGTGAGACATGGGAAAAAAGAGGAAAAATGAAAAAATCATTTGAAAAATTAGTGAAGCTTGTTTATATCTCAGTATTTCTTTTCAAGTTTCCAGAACTGAAGAAATACTTTTAAGTCAGGGGTAGAGAATTAGTAATTATGGTAGCCCTGATTTAAGACTCAAATTTCTCTACATTGCCAAGTAAGCCCAGTTTTCAATCCCCTAACATTTGAAGTTCAGGGAAAAGCTGACAGAGTCAGAGATATATAGGTAAGGCAATAATATGGAAGAGTCAGTGCTAAGTAGCTTCTCCTTCCCTCTCTTTAGGACTAATTGAACCTTTAATTTAATAGTCTATCTGACTGTCCTGAAAAGGCTAAAGTATATTCTTTTTAGAGAGAGAGATCTAATAAAAGCATATTTTATCAGCAATTTCTATTACTTCAAAGTGGAAACAAATCAGGGAGTATAGTAAACATCATGCCAAAAAGTACATCATACTTTCTACAAAATGCAGAGAGAAAATATGTACATATCTACAAAGGAGCCAACCTTTTTCTTTAAAAGAAATTTTATATGACTACAAAGAACAACTCTGCAATAAATTGGTCAAAATCTGAATCAAAGATAATTTATAATAATCTGTCTTCAATCTATAATGAAAAATGTCCTTTATTAGACTCCATTATTTAGTTTCAGTGTCAAAAGTAAACATTAATGTTGGAAAATTAAGCTATTGGAGATAAATGAGATAGAAGAGCTAAAAGAAAGTCAAAATTACACTCCATAGCTACCAAAAGAAACTGTGTTTTAAGTCTTCTTACTGTATCTCAAAAGAAGCCAAATAAACAATGATATGGTAAAATATGTAGACCATGTGATGTGTGTATTGTTGCAGGTTGAACAAAGTAAAAGGCTTAAATATTAGTTTAATTTCTTGCTTTTTCTAGGAGAAAAAAAAACAACAAGACTTTTATCTGGCTCATAAACAATATTTTCTCCCCCAAATAGGAAATAAACAACAGCAAAAAAAAAAAAAAATCCACTAAGTACCTATGTTATCAGTTATCATACTCATGTTATCAGTCCTGAGCTATGATAATGGCCCATCCTTTGAAAGCTATTCAAAAAATTAAGTAATTAAGTTTTCAAACTAGAAAACAGACGTGAATTTAAAAGCTATGATTAGTTGTTGTTGTTGTTGTTGTTAGGTGCCATCAAGTCGTCTGCGACTCATAAGGACCCTATGCACAGCAGAACAAAACACCCCCCAATCTCATGCCAGCTCTGTGATCTCTGCTATACTTGAGCCCATCGCTGCAGCCACTGTGTCAATCCATCTCATTGAGGGCCTTCCCCTCTTTCGTCGGCCCTCCACCTTACCAAGCATGACATCCTTCTCCAGGGAATGGTCCCTTCTGAAAACATGACCAAAGTAGGTGACACGTAGTCTGGCCATTCTCGCTTCCAAGAAGCATTCCAGCTGCACTTCCTCCAAGACAGATTTGTTAGCTCTTTTAGCAGACCATGGTACTTTCAGCATTCTTTGCCAGCACCACAACACAAAAGCATCAATTCCTCTCCAGTCTTCCTTATTCATTGTCCAGCTCTCACATGCATATGAGGCGACTGAAAATATCATGGCTTGTGTCAGGCGCACCTTAGTCCTCAAGGAGACATCTTTGCTCCTCAGCACTTGAAAGAGGTCTTTTGTAGTTGCCTTGCCTAGTGCTATGTCCTGACTGCTTCTTCCATTGGCGTTGACTGTAGAACCAAGCAATGTGAAGTCTCTGACAACTTCAATCTTTTCTCCATTTATCGTGATGCTGCTTATAGATTCAGTTGTGAGGATTTTTGTTTTCTTTATATCGAGATGTAATCCATACCACAGACTGTATTCTTCAATCTTCATCAGTAAGTGCCTCAAGTCATCCTCACTTTCAGCAAGCAGAGCTGTCATCAGCGTAGCAAAGGTTGTTAATGATTCTTCCTCCAATCTTCATGCCACATTCTTCTTCATAAATGATTAGAGCTAACAAATATTGAGTAGAATTAAGATGTCATCCAAATAATTTCTTTTTTCTTTTTTTTTGAGAATCACATAATGGAGAAATTCTATAGACACCTGAGAAAGTCTAAGGGAAATATACATGAGAGAGTGATTAAGAAGTGAACAGAATAAGTCTAGACAGAAGCTGGAATAAGTAGACTCCCACAGAGAGTTTTCTTCATCATAATTCTGGGCAAAGATCTTTACAGTCTGACAGAGACCACTGAGTTTTCATGGAAAATTACATATACAAAAGGGAAAAACTGATGTCAACTACAAGCTAAGACTACATGCCACCAAAGAAATAGCTTTTTGGAATATACACTTTGCTAATAGCAGAGAATAGTAACTAAACTTCTAAAATTCCAAACTTTGCTTTTTCCATCAGATAAAAGAAGTATTCTCTTAAAACTGATGAAATATTTTCAAGAAGTTCTTCCAAATTTTTATAATTCTACCTCGAATTTCAATATTCAGATATACATGTACACATAAAAAATAGGTATTTCTTGATTTCTGCAACCTGATTCATATACTTCCAAAGCTGCATTAATTGCAAGAACAAGACATTTTACATATACAACATAAGGATTTGAGAAGTCAAAACTTTAAAGTCACTTCAAGTAAAGTTTTCTAAATTCATGTCCTGCTGGGCATTATATATTGAGAGAGCAAAGAAAGGGTGGGCTCATGAGAGACACACAAAGAAAAATAACAAGAAGGTATTCTCTTTTCTTTGATATAATTACCAGTACACTCCAACAGTGCCTTCTCCAAAAGCAATGGGAGTAGAAAAAGTTAAAGCTAAGTAGCAACCCAATTAGCACTCCCATCACACCACTATCTACTATCAAGCTCTGCTTTCTCCTGCTGACTCATTTTAAGTGAAAGATGGGCCAGTGTCCCAGAACAAAGAAAACATTTTAAAATGTGAGTCCAAGGAAAATCAGTGTTTTGAAATACTTTGGCTTTTGAGGAAGAGCTCTGTATTACAGAAATCAGGAAGAATTTGTTTGAGAAGTAGACTAGAATGTATACACACAATCCAAATCACTGATGAGATTACTCAAGAAGCTGATCAATTACATTACCTAAACTAGGAGTAAAGGATCATCATAATCTACATATTCTTTTAGAAGGGAATCACACAGAGTACACAGTTTATTCTTCTGCTTTAAGGCAGGACAATAACTAAATCATTTCTAGTCCATTAAATGCTAATTTGATAAAATTATATAACCTTTTGTGAGACCCATTCCAGTATTTTGTAGCTAAGGCTATTCTAATTAATTCCTCCCTCAGGTTCCTACAAACCAGTTTTGTTTTTTCGCAACTCTTTTGCTTCTGCTGATACCAATTCTTCAAAATCCAAATTACTCAGCGGATTGTCATGATTTGTAGAGCTCACTTCACTTTTCTCCAGCAAATCCTTTGCTTTAAGGAAAATGTAAACCAGTCATAAGAAATTCCAAATAAACACTACCTACTTATCACCTTTGGGATTAAGGCACAAAATTCAAAATTTCTCTAGCATCATATCAGAAATGGTAGTTAGGAACTGAAGCAGAGACCTGCCGACTACAGCCTGCCTCCTGTTTTTGTTAATACTGTTTTACTGGAACACAGATACAACCATTTGTTTACATATTATTTATGGATGTTTTTGTGTCACAATGGCAATTACACAGTCCAGACAGAGAAAACTGTGAAGCCTACAAAGCCAAAATATAATTATAGTCTGATCCTTTGTAGAAAGTTTGCTAAACCTGCTGTAGCAAAATATTTTAAGATCAGTGAAACAGAAGAGATCAGAAATAGATCCACAATTATATATTCATTTGATTTTAGACAAAACTGTCAAAGTGTTTTCAACAAATGGTACTGCAACAATTGGACATTCATATGGGGGGGGAAATGAGCCTTGACTTCTAACATACACTATACACAAAAGTTAGTTAGAGATGGATAAAAATTTTAGAACTGCCAGAAAAAATACAGGAGAATGTCTTTATGACTGAAATAATGATACTTCATCAAAATACACATCTGCTTAAAAGGTCTGCTACTTGGTATTGACACTTTCTGTGCCTCCCAAATTGGAATATTCTCCCCTTTCCTTACTGCTACAAATTCTACCCATACCTAGGACTTCTCCAACTGGCTCAGCTTCTTGCCTCTTACCTTCTCCCTCACTGTAGAAACTTCCCTTACTATCCTCAAATGGGTTTTCTGACTAAATGCCCTGAAAAATCAATAGTAAATCTTGATTTTTCACTGGAATACAGATACATTCTTTGGTCATGTCTTAGTTGAAATGATTTACCATTATTTCTTGGAAAGCATTTGCTTTCTCTTTATCCCCCATTGAACATACAAGGTACAATCTGTAGAAAACTTAAAAAATGATGTGTACTTTAGGCTAGAAAACCCAAGAGTGATAGTGAAAAGGACAGATGAACATATTCACCGTTTCAAGAAACATAAAGGGCAAAATGCAAAATCTCAAAAAGGACGAAATCAGTAGGCCCTGGGCATACACATGAGCAATATACAACAGCTCCCCACAAAGATTCCAGTTCCCCATCCCCAACATCCCATTCATAAGGCCATCAAAATCACCACCGCTGTCAAAACTGAGTGTGTGCTTTTTCCTTCTGGTAGGCAAATGGGTACTACCCGGGGTAGAGCAGATGAAGATATATATGCTCCAGGTATTCCCAGTTGGAAAAATGAACTTTTTTCCCCACAGTCATAGCATAGAATGTGGTGATTAGTTCTAAAGCACTATTAGCCACTATTAGTTCTAGCCTAAGATCAAAACAATAATAATAAAAACTGCTGTTGTTGTTAGGCACCAGTGAGTTGGTTCTGACTCACAATGAGTGACCTTATGTACAAAAGAATGAAATACTGCCCAGTCCTGCGCCATCCTCACAATTGTTGCCATGCCTGAGCCCATCATCACAGCCACTCTGTCAATCCACCTCGTTGAGGGTCTTCCCCTTTTTTGCTGACCCTCTACTTTACCAAGCATAATAACCTTCTCCAGGGACAGGTACCTTCTGATATGACCAAAGTATGAGAGATGGAGTCTGGCCATTCTTATTTCTAAGGAACATTCCAGCTACACGTCCTCCAAGACAGATTTGTTTGTTTTTGAGCAGTCCATATACATTCAATATTCTTCATCAACACCATAATTCAAATGCACCAACTCTTCTGTAGTCTTCTTTATCCATTATCCAGCTTTCACATATACATGAGGTTACTGAAAATACCATGGTTTAGAGCTGGCATACCTTAGTTTTCTAAGTGACATCTTTGCTCTTTAACATCTTAAAGTGGTCTTTTGCAGCAGATTTGCCCATATTGTTTGATTTCTTGATTGCTGCTTCCATGGGTGTTGATTATGGATCCAAGTAAAATGAAATCCTTAACAACTTAAATCTTTCCTCCATTTATCATGATGTTGCTTATTGGCCCAGTTGTGAGTTTTGTTTTCTCTATGTTGAGATTTAATCCATACTGAAGGCTGTAGTCTTTAATCTTCATCAGAAAGTGCTTCAAGTCTTCCTCACTTTCAGCAAGCAAAGCTGTGTCATCTGCATATTGAAGGTTGTTAATAAATCTTCCTCCAATCCTGATGCCACATTCTTCTTCATATAGTCTAGCTTCTCAGATTATTTGCTCAGCATACAGACTGAATAAATATGATGAAAGGATACAACCTGATGCACACCCTTCCTGATTTTAAACAATTCAGTATCCCCTTGTTCCGTTTGATGCCTGCCTTTTGGTCTATGTACAGGTTCTTCATGAGCACAATTAAGTGTTCTGGATTTCTCATTCTTTACAATCTTACCCATAATTTGTTATGATCCACACAGTCAAATGCCCTTGCATAGCCAATAAAACACAGGTAAAAATATTCCTGGTTTCCTTGCTTTCAGCCAAGATCCATATGACATCAGCAACGATATCCCTCATTCCACATCCTCTTTTGAATCTGGCTTGAATTTCTGGCAGTCCCCTGTCAATACACTGCTACTATTTATGGAGTTTTTCGTATATGTCAGACACTGTGCTAAAGTGCTTATACATATTTAATCCTTATAACAATACTATCAGGTAGGTACTCACAATCATTTCCATTTTTTCCAGGTGTGTAAACTGAGACACATAGAAGTTAGGTAATTTCCCCAGGTATACAAAGTGGTGAAATAAGAATTCTAACTCCATTCTGACTGACACTAAACCTGTAATATTTATGGGATAGTGAATCAAAAAATTTCCAAGGATAATTTTACATATTTATACATTGGGTTTCCCTATAATTGACTTGCACATCAGCTCCTATCAGCTTGTCAGCTAAACTGTAGACTTTATGTACTTTAATAAAGGATCACAAATAGCTATTTTCAAAAGCAGGCAACATTTCACAACTAGCACCTTAGCAACGTACCTATTGTGATGTTACCTGTCTTGCTTTGTAATGTGATATTGCCTATAAAACAAAAAAGAAATTATATATGTTAGAAATAATCTAAAAACAAACTATGTTATATCGTCTCCTATAACATGGTTGGGTATCTAAAAATATTATTTAATAATTAAATATTGACAATTTTGCTTAATATCACAAATCTAGTCAGAGATTTAGTTGCAATAACTAGCTGAAAAAACTAGCTTTAGGCATTGATTCAGACCCCATTCCTCCTTTCCCAAACTATAACCTTTTGTAGGATAACTGAAAAATAAACCAGAATACTTTCTGGAAAAGAAGAAGAAAATAACAATTACTTCTAAAGACCAGAAATGAAAAAAAAAAAAAATTCAAATGTACTCACTGTGAATTTTCAACCTAAACATCAATGCATTTATCAGATCACACAAAGCCAAGTTTTGAACCAAGTAACACTATAATATTCTATGGAAAAAATAATTAACTGTTATTTTTCAGGCCAACATGTCATGTCTGTCTATTAGATTAAAGTGGTTTCTGTGCTGAGACTTAAAAAGGTTTTGGATAGCAGGGATAATGAATATGTTCAAGTATGACTAACAAAGAAGAAAGCTCCAAAGGTTTCCATCTTTCAATACATATATAGTTTCCAGGACAAGTATGGATATTGCAACCATTCTTCCTAGCCTCCTTCCTCTAACATCAAAAGATAGCAAAATGTTCCTGCATGTGTGTGTTTGTATGTATGATTACTTTTGTAACCATAAGATACACAATACTCACTCCACCAAAATTGGAAGCAATAATACTACCTCTTTGCCATAATTCCAAAAATACACTGAAAAGTAAAGGAATAACTCTGATTTCAGAATTAATCTAACGTACATGAACTAATTTATTTCATTTCATTGCATCTCATAGACACTGACATGTATCAGTACCTGGGAAAAAGCCAAAAAAAGCGCTTGATTCATTTATCAGTCAGATGTGCTTCAACTGCAAAAGTCTGTCTAGAAATCTGACATTCCATCATAAATCATAAGAATATATGAACAAGGGACACATTTATGTAGAAAGAAAAACTTGGCTGGCATGCAGAAATTAAGCTCATAAAATTTCCTTCAAGTGTCAGTAAGTTAGAAGGCCATGATGATCTTGTTAAATGTGTTATGTAAATACTAATGGTCTGTTCTGTATACTCTTCCAACTTTCAAACCTAGTAAATGCATGGATTTACCAAAATATGAAAATAGTGGCCAAAGATTATACAGTTTCTAAGATGACTTCCAACTATGCCCACTTCCTGCTATTTATAACCTGTATGTGTAGGCTGGACCTAATGACTTGCTTTTAATGAAGAAAATGGGGCAAAAGTGATGGGATGGCACTTCTGACATTAGATTATAAAATGATTCTGGCGCCAGTCTTGCTGGCTTTCTTTTCCTGTGATGGAAGCCAGCTGTCATGCTGTCAACTGTGCTATGGAGAGGCCTCCTAGGCAAGGAACTGAGAGGCCTCTGACCAGCAGCCAGGGAGAACTGAATGCTGCCAACAATATGTGAGTGAGCTGGGAAGTAGATTCTTCTGCAGACAAACCTTCAAATGAGTCCACAGCCCTGGCTGACAAGTTGTGAGAAACCTTGAAAGAGAGGGCCCAGTTAAGCTACACCTAAATTCCTGACCCACCCAAACTGTGAGACAAATTAGGTTGTTTCGGTTATCAAGATTTGGGGTTATGTGTTACACAGCAACCTTATGGGGCAGATCTACTCTGTGTCACAACTGCCCTGATGGCCATGGGCTTGGTTTATTGTTTGTTACAAAGCAGGAGATTAGTAGTAGCACAGACACTACTACTGACACTTAGTAGCAGCACAAACACTGGTGTTAACGTAATAAATATATTAAAAATATATGGAAGTGGCTTTGGAACTTGACAGTTGGCAAAAGCTGGAAGGATTTTGAGTAGCACTTAGAGAAAGCCTAAATTGCCTTGAATAGACTGTTATAGAAATCCTCAAGAATGCTGCTCATGAGCACTCAAAAGGAAGTAAGGAAAACGTTTTTGGAAACTGAAGGATGAGAGGTCCTTGTAAGGTAGTGACAGCAACTTAGCAGCAATATTGCCTTCTTCAGTAGCAAGGAAAGTAGGAAATATACCTAATGAACTGAGTGATTTGGCTAAAAAAGACTTCCAAGCAAAGTCAAAGTGTTGAGGTGCTGCCTGATTTTTCTCTTGCTTCTAACAGTAAAAGGAGATAAAGGAAAACAAAGGGAAAGGCTGTGAAACAAAAAGGAACCAGTATTTCATGGGTTTAAAAACTTTTAGCCTCTCTAGATGGCAAAAGATGCTAAAATTAAGAAACAGCTTCTGAACAAAGTTTGTGCCCAGGGCACTGCCCAGAGAACACGGCCTAAATATGAAGGGGTGACTATAAAACTTTTTGTTAAGACTCCAAAAAGATCAATGGTGGTATCTCACAGTCTTAATCAGTTACATAAAGAGTTATTTAAAAAAAAAAACAATTAAGAGTATGCCTCACAGATCCTCTCAAAACACTAGGGCCTCTGGAAAGCTTAAGGGATTGTACTTCAGTATCTCTGCAAAAGCTATACTTTGAAGAGATTTATGTATGGCTTTTTTTTTTTTTTTTTCCTTTTAGAGGAGAGAAAATTATTTATTGCAAAGTGGCAACGCAAGGAGGCAGGAGTCCATACCCAGATCTGACTCCCTGAATCTCCATAAAATTACAGCTTTTGTAGGTTTCAGAAGAGAGGGTTATACATATTCATAAAAATTTCAGAAACTTGGGCGTGAGATGGTTGACAATTGGCTGAAATTTCCTTCGTCTTGGTTTAAAGGGACAGTAGGTTCTTAATTGAGTGCACCTGTGTACTGGATGAGTCACACTGGCTTCCTGTCATCAGCTGATCAGGGCTTAGGCAGAGAGGAGAGTGTTAGTTCCCAGCAACTTTGTTCCTCTCTGTCCCACTGCACATGTCTGCAGGCCAGAGTCAATTTTCAAGATGTTTTCTAATACATATCAATGCATTTATCACCTGTGCCTTAGGGAATATCAGGAAAGAATGCTTTTTATTACATTCAGGTTTTTTTTTCCTTTATCTTTATTTAATTTCTTAAAACAGTGTTCCCTACCCTCCCCTCCCACCCCTGGTAACCAACAAAGAAAATTTCCTTCCATATATAAACTGTGCCTTGACTTTTACAATAACGGACTATTTGTCCTTCTGTGACTGACTTATTTCACTCAGCATAATGTCCTCCAAGTTCATCCATGTTATGTGGTATTTTGCAGATTCTACATTACTCTTTAGGGTTGCATAGTATTCCATTGTGTGTATGTACCAGTTTGGTTATCCACTCCTCAGTTTATGGACACCCAGGTTGTTTCCAGCTTTTTGCTATTATAAATAGTGCTGCGATGAACATGGGTGTGCATATGTCTGTTGTTGTTACAGCTCTCACTTCTTTAGGATATATACCTAGTAATGGAATGGCTGGGTCAAACGGTATTTCTATTTCCAACTTTTGAAGGAACCGCCATACTGCTTTCCACAGTGGTTGTACCACTGTGGTTTTTATCTCGTGAAATGAACTGCACCGAGATTCACAGGAGGCCAACAAAGTTTTTGAGAGAATTATATCAGCAAAAACACTGCCATCTGGACTGAAAGGAACAAGGAGAGTACAAAGTGAAAAGAAGCCAAAATTCTACCGGCAGGATGCAGAATAAGCAAACATAGGCTACATTTCATGAAAAAGGACAGCTGACTCAGAGAATAGGACCAAGAGCTCACAGAGCAAAGCCCAGACCCATGAAGAATTCCCAGGCCCAGAAATTTAATCAAAAGACCTACCACATTTGCCCACTTCAATATCAAAATCACTATGAACTAGCGGCCCTTTTGTCTTTTCCATTTTCCCCTTTTGAACAGGAATGTCTACAGTGGTCACCCTATGGCTATCCAACCATTGTTTGTTGGGTGTAGATGGAGAAGGGTATAGATAACTTGTCTCTTTAGTATCACAGGTTTTCAGATTCTGAGAAACTGTACATAAAGAGCTATACTTAAGGAACTACTTCTGAATAGCTTCATCTACACTTGGAACTGATTGAAATGGAAAGATTCTTGAGTTTGAGCTGATGCATAACAGGATAAGACTTCTGGGAAACTTAGAAGGAGTAAGTGTATTTTGTATGTGGATGGGACATGAATTATTGAGGTGCCAGAAGAAAGACTGGTAATTCAAAACCTTGTAAGGGTGTATAAGGTTTATAATATATACTAATTTTTAACTTTTCATATGTGTATCTGAGGAGATACACATATGAAAAGTTAATAATTAGTATATATTAATAATTATAAAATAACATCACAAATGAACAGCATGATTAAGTGCCACAGTCATTGAGAGGAAGGAGACCATCATCACTTGACATGGTCATGGAGAGTAGTTACACCTGAGATTTAAAACACAGAACAGTTGTATATGCTGAGAGGGAAGGATTTTCTGGAAAAAATAATTACATGAGCAGAGGTAAGAAGGCAAAACTACACACGTATATCACAGAGATCAGTTAGGCTGGAGAAATTAGACAAGTCCATGAGGACAGGAATCATGTTTTTCTTATTTAGCATCTTATTTGGAGAGCTTAGGACAATGCTCAGTACATAGTAAACACTATTATATTTTGAAAGAACAACTAAAAAAGTAGGTTAAGAGTTATCTGTGAAAGAACCATGAAATTTGAGCTATTGACCTCATCCTATCCTTTTAAGGGAGCTCTGCGTAGTGCCTAAGGCATCTGACTGCTAAGCAGAAGGCCGGCTGTTCAAACCCAACAGCCACTCCTTGGAAGGAAGAGAGGGCAATCTACTTCTGTAGAGATACTCCTTCAGAAACCCAAGGAAGGGTTGCTATGAGTCAGATCCGACTTGATAGCAGTGAGTCTGATTTTTTTTTTTTTTTTTTTATCCTTTTAAAGAAAGAGTCACTGAGGAATTTCAAGATGGGTATT